AGCTTCCGCGGCCACGCCCATCACATCCAGTACGACCCGAACAACACCGGGATCCCGGCCGTGACCGAGCACAACTACACCGAAGCAGTCCTCGACCACTTTGCGCCTGTCGCGGCGCGCAAGCACTGGAACCAGCGCTACTTTGTCAACGACGAGTTCTGGGCCGGTGAGGGCTACCCGGTCTTTCTGTACATTGGCGGCGAGGGCCCGCTCTCGGCGTCGGCGCTCTCGAGCCGCAACTACATCCACACGCTCGCCAAGTCGCACCGCGCGCTCATGGTGGCCGTCGAGCACCGCTTCTACGGCAAATCGTATCCGACGCCCGACATGAGTACGGCGAACCTGCAGTATCTCTCGAGCCAGCAGGTACTTCCTTAGCTTTTGTCTTCGCACTCGCAAGCTAACCTCTCAGGCGCTCTTCGACCTCGCTCGCATCCACAACTACCTCACGGGCGTCTACGGCCTCGGCCAAAGCAAGTGGGTCGCATTTGGCGGCAGCTACCCCGGTGCGCTTGCAGCGTGGTTCAAGCTCAAGTACCCGTCGCTCGTCGCCGGCAGCGTCGCGAGCTCGGCGCCGCTTTTGGCCAAAGAGAACTTTCCCGAGTACATGGAAGTTGTCGGGAACGGTCTGCGGTACTTTGGCGGCGGCGAGTGCTACCGCGCGGTCGAGCAGGCCATGGTGGCCCTGCATGGCCTTCTCGACGGCGGCCGCGAAGGTCGGCAAAAGCTCAACGAGCTCTTCCACCCGTGCACGCCCATGAAGAACGAGTTTGATGACTCGGTCTTCGAGACGTCCATCATGTCACTCTTCCAGAGCGTGTCCCAGTACAACGCCATTTACGCAGGCCCGACGCTCACGGACGTGTGCAACATCTTCGCGAAGAGCAACGACTCGCTCGCGCAGCTCGCCGCGTTCGTCCAGACGGCGTCGAAAAAGCCGTGTTTGGACTCGAACTTTGAAGGCACGGCCAACGGCACGATCGAGGTGCTCAGCGAGACGGCATTCGACGGCACGAGCTCGAGCCGCCAATGGTTTTACCAGACGTGCAAAGAGTTTGGGTACTTTCAGACAGCCGAGTCGAACCAGTCGCCGTTCTGGCCGCTCAAAACGCAGACGCTCCAGAACGTCGGCCTCGAAGTGTGCAAGCGCGTCTTCCAGATTCACGCGCACCCGGACACGCTTGGCACCAACATTGGCTACGGGTCGCTCAACATCACGGTTGACCACGTCGTCTTTCCCAGCGGCACCATCGACCCGTGGCAAGTGCTCGCCGTCCAAAACACGACGCGCATGAACACCAAGACGGCGCGCCCGATCTTCATCGAAGGCACGGCCCACTGCGCCGACATGTATGCGCCCAACGCGACCACCGACTCGGGCCACATGCGCTGGGCACGCCGCGAGATCGCCGCCGCCGTCGCTTCGTTTGTGAGCACCCCGATCGCTGCCGAGTAGTTTGAAGCAGTGAACCAAACAAGTCGCGAATGCTGTTGGAAATCGTACAGCGGCTACGGATCTAGACCAACGGAACGACACACTATGCACAGATATTACCCATGGTCCAGCCTCCTTGACGAGCAATATCACTTTCATATTTGCATTCTACTATACCTCCAACCTCATTTCCGGTAGGCACGAGTTTCCGGTATACTAGTATGCCGTGTTCATTTTGCTTCCTTCTTGTGTTCCTTGCAGCAAGGGTACATAAATTCAAGGGCGAGGGGGTAAATGAATTTATGTACCCTTGCTTGTAGGGACGGCGAGTTGCCCTGCTTTTTCCAGAAGTGAGTTCCCTAATGACTCGTGGACGCAATGAGTGAGTCAACTCGGTGACTCGCAGTAAACTAATACACACTAATCACTAGAAATCGTGTGCTTCTTCGACGCCGTGCCGACTGTGGCCGCCGACGGCAGCGTTTCAGCGACGATAAGGCCGGCTTCTGTCTCGTTGTTGTTGAAGTGGGTCTTCTATTACAATAGATAAAACTATGCTAAATAAAATTGTCGGACTTTCTTCGTTGTGTATACTCGGTCGGCTTCGGTCTTGTTGTTGTCGATGATGTCATCAAGGTCAAAAAAGTCGATGAGTGTCGTGGCAGCCTCTGAGATCGTCGCCTCGAGCGCCTTGACGAGCTCGCGTTCGGCAGACACAGTTGGAATGAACACCTTGTTGAACGCAAGGACGAGACGCATCTCAAACTTGGTGTTGACGAGGTTCTGGCGCAACGGCGAGTCGATCAGCTTGCAAAGCGAGAAGACACGCTCGTGGAGCTAACGTCTCGATGGTGTCGTGGTACCTTGAGAGCGCGCATGAACTGCGCCTTTATGCGCATGCCCGACCGCATCCGGTCATAGTCGGTAACGAAATTCTTGATGCGGATTCGATCCCGAGCCGCAATCTCCCACAGCGGGCCTTCGATCACGTCGGCTTCGGTGATACCGTACTGGTTGCCGCCCCGGCGCTTGGCCCGCGGCGACGCATTCGCACCATTGGTACTGTACGCAGGAAAGACACCGTCGGCCAAATCGTGGTGCAGCAGCTTGTAGTTGACGTCGAGGCCGGCGCTGTAGACCTTGCCGAGCACGCGGAGCTCACTCGGGTCGACGTCGCCGAGGATGCCAAAGAGGTCCTGCGTTAAACGCGCCTGCGTCACAAACCGCGGCAGCCAGGCATACACGACACACGACGTCGGTAACGGCGCCAGAGGAGCCTTTTTTCGGGCCGCTTTTGAGGTACACCTCTTGACGCCTCGAGCGCACCTTCTTATGGGACTTGCAGGCTTGACTCGCCGGTCGTTGTCGCGGCCGTGGGCTCGTCGCGATCGAGTATCTGGACCAAGGCAACCTCGTCACGTTCCTCGGAGGTATTGGGCACCCGCTCTCGCTGCTGTGGCAGGCGTCGCGTATTTGCACGCGCAGAACGTCTCGCACCGGCGCCTGCGAAGCGCGTGCTCCTCACAGCAGCATGGACGTCAAGCTCTGCAGTCTCTTTGACACGAGCGCCGCGTCACCGATCAATATGGGCCTCGACATGTGCGCACTCGGCACCATCGTCTTGGAGCTGGCGGCCTTTGCTTTGCGGTAGGCCCACCCAAAAATTGCGAGCTGCCTCAACTACGCAGAGACCGACTGGTTTCACGCGCTGGCGGATCAGTGCACGGAAGATTCGCCCATGGCTCGACCGATGGCTAGTGACGTCCTCGTCATCCTGGTACCAAGCTCTTGTACGGTAATCTTCACGACCGCGTCTCCATGAGAGTGACCAAGGACATGCCAATCAACCCCGTCGAGACTGGTAACCTCGTTTTTTACATCTATCCTCTAACTTTCCATGCTCACGTTCCAAATACGCACCGTGCCATCCCAGGACGACGACACGAGGTTGGGGCCGACACTGTCGCGCACGCCGAGGCCCGTGATGCCCGAGGCGTGGCCTTCGAGCACTTGGCTGCACGCGCCCGTGTGT